TGCTATTAAAATTTGCGGTTGTCAATCACACATGTAAACAGTACAGGTAGGGGTGCTGTTCACTGTGAGCCTCAGATCAGTCTGGTAATTTATCCATGAGGCATTTTATGGTTTATCAAAAAAAAAACTGGCTATTTGCAGCTGGCGAATTACTTGGAGCGCAGTTTGTTCCCGCTGCGTCTGCTGTGCTACACACAGTACGAATTGCTGACAGTGCCGAGTGGCAGCAGCGTGGACTCCGACTCATGTCTGCGACGCTTCTTCCCATTCTCGAAGGCAAAAAATTCGCAGATAAAAAAGTGCTTGCATAGGGAGCCGACTCGGCTCTTGATCGGCCCTAAAATTGAGCGGTATCATCGAAAAATTAGTGTGGTTCGCAGTGCGCCAACTTCACTCGACTATCGTGATTATATACGGGAAACGTGGAAAACGGACATGGAACCGGATATCCCGGTTATTTTCGTTCTTGGTACCGGAACCTATGATCCTGCACATGAAGCACAAACATACCAGGATATAATGCAATTTGATTTCGTCGACTCGTACTTTAATCTCACACTAAAAATGACCTCGGTGTATAGATATCTGCTCAGCGAATTTCCGGAATTGACGGAAATCATAGTTATCAATGATGATGCTATTGTCAATGCTACAGCACTCAGAAGGGTTAGTACTTTTTCCGCTTATCCAGTTTCCTAGATTTTGGAAAAATTGAAAATCAGCTATGCATTGATCAACTCGGACTGTTTACCAGAGCACCACAAAAACTGCACAGGAAGGGCGATGTAGAAGATTTGGAGAGTGATCGCTTCTCCAAAGCTTCCGACGAGAAGCGGCTGAGAGGGCAAGCTGGATTACAAAGTAATTATTACACAACGGGCCTCCATCCAAAATGCGTCCGAAAACAGTATTCATCCCGGTGGTGTTCTACTACTGTTAGGATTACAATGCGGTACACTTCATAATGCGCTTACAAATAGCTGTAGTACGTTATACGCCTTAGCATACGATTCGGCCACGCAGAGATTATCCGCTAAAAGTCATTACTGCTCTCCTCCGCACATACCAATATCGCGTCTCTTATAAGGTAATGACGTCACAAACGATAGTGTAAGACGGTGGATCTTTCGAACCAGTTTTTTGAAAAAACAGGTAAATTGGCCCTGAAGCATTGCCGGAGGCTGTTCTTATCGAATTATACTTTATCAGAAACAACACTCACTAAACGTCTTTTGAACTTTGTAATTAAGCAGAGGTTGCAAAATGTAGTGACCGAATGAAGCTGTGAAGAGACTGTGTTCCCTAAATTCATAACCAGAGAACCAGACTTAAGCTGCAGCTAACCCAAGATCAATAAATCATTGCGCGAAATTACCTTACATGCCAACGCTCAGATTCTGTTAATAGCTATCGCATTTTACCCACTCAGATTTTGTTTTCCACGTTTTTCTTTTTTTTTGTTTCGCTTTCAAGGCGCAAACCCTCGAGTAATTTTCAAGTGGCTTGGTTCCTTACAGAGAGCGAAACACAAAGATTTTCGCTTTCTCGCTCTGACACAATTAGGTGAAGATTTTAAATATCACTTTCAAAAAACAACTAAAAACAAGCAAGAGATCATTCGAGTAGCTTACACACATCGAATAAGCAGTGAGTGCCAACTAGATATATGTAGCCAAAGTAGAAGGACCCGGTATAGCCACCC